CAAAGTGGCAACGTTGTAAAGTACGCAATAGTTACGAAGAGTTGACAGCCCATCTGTCAGATCTCTCCTAATTCTCTTGTCTCGTCCTCATTCCGAACGAATGCTGACCCTAAGGAATAAGTTTAAAAATAAAATTACCACAGGTGCTGAGGCGGAAAAATTGGCAGTAGTGATAAAAAAGTATCCGCTTGGCTTTCCGTACCGATAGCCGCATCACGCGGCAGGACTTCGTTACATTGCTGACAGGTGTGGGGATATTTGGGCTTATAAAAATCCAGATCCACGAAATTCCACTAGCCATCGACTACCGGGGCCGATGTTGGAAGTGGAGCTCGTTCTCAATTGCCACCTAAAGTTATGCTAGGCAGCAACTTGGTGAACAGTTCGAGCCACACCAGAACCCTTTACCTAGTAAATCTTAGCGCTCAGTGTTACTTGCTGCCCGCGCAGACAACATTGGGCAAGTGGAACCGGTAAAGCTTCTTGAAACCGGCTCGAACCAGTACACGGAAGAACCTCCGGACAATACCCGATACGACCTTAGATTGAACCCAGTCGAATGCACAACTGGAGACGAAGTTTGGCTCTACTCTTCTACACGGCGGATGGGACAATGCCCAAGGTTGCAGTCCGATTGGGTTGGACCTTCCTCCGTAATTCTGGTCTTAAAGATACGACTCCCTGGGAAACCCAAAACCAGAAGTACTCGCTTAGGAGAGTCTAATAAGGGGGTAGTGTAACGAAATTACGGAAAAATTCGGCGGTGTGCTACTGGATAGCTGATCTGATATGTCCGCACTTGGGCTCACGTTGTCTCGTGATTACACCTAAGAAATGACATTGACGTAGAAGTTTTGATGATTAACGATGAACTCCAATAAGCCGAGACTACGATCAACACTTGTTCACAAGTATAAATTTTATTGGGACCTGAAGAAATTTGGTCTGTTCTGTTAGGTAAGAAGAAATTATCGCCATCTTCTCGATTTTAACGATTTTAACACCGTCATCAAACGCCACCAAGTTCAGTTCGAGAATGGTTTTGCAGAAATTTTGTGTTTACAGTGCAGCCTACAAGGCTTCCCTTCCCAAATAGTACTAAACGGCAATTATTATATGAGTCTCACAAATATTTTATCATAAATATATTTTGGTAAATTTACACTCAGTAATTTTTTGAACATTTTTTAAGGAATAATGGACCAAACAGGTCTTTAAGATCAGCCTTCCATATACATTTAGAAAAATAACTTAAATATATATTCGGTAGACTCATCTTTAAGATAATTTTAAAACAATTTTTCCAAAATTAAGGAATTTTGTTTACATAGGCGTCCCCGATTGAGTGCCTTTCTCTTCCAGTTTCTTCCAGTATCAAGTTGATCGAAAAATATCTAAAGGGGGGTGGCAATACGGAGACTTCTTCAGTATAATTTGTTGACCTGATTCTAAAATTGCTTTTCTATCTTGTTCAGAATCTTAGTTTAAAGCTGGTCCGGGATGTGTAGGAACCTGGTTCCCTAGTTATACCCATTTAATACGTTTATTTATAGCAAACATACAGCTTATTAGGGATGGTCTAGCAATACAGATTATCCAGTATGTTATTACCCCTCCAGTTGATAGTGATCTTTCAAATCATTTCCATTCACTACCACCAACTAAAACACAACGGAACGGACTGCTCTCTGGGTAGTAAAACTCTTTCATTTACATTTGGATGTTCACTAGCAGAAAGGAAACCAAATCGTGGTAGCTGATTTCTCATCTAGTCAACCCTTGAATTCTCGGTATCAACTTAGGGAAACCATTATGCATTTGGATCAGACAAGATAAATTCCGAGTGGCAAGACTTACCAGACAACGCCGAGGAAAATAGCCTGTTTTACCTACTCCTCACGAGATTCAAAGCAAAGTTTTTGAAAGCTGTGTGGCTTTGGCGATTGCCGACTGTCAGTCAGCTGCTAAAAATAACATACATTGTAAATGAAACAATAAAAAAAAGAATTACCCATTTCCTGGTCAAAAAGTTTAGCGTGTTGCTTCTACAGCAATCATTACTATGCAAAAATTTCCATTTAAATTTTTATCATTTTTGGAGCAGTAAAATTTTGTTTTGTAGAAATTTCCTTACGAACAAACTCATGAATTTTGGTGACAACTAGAACCGGGAAAAAATTCATTTCAATGATATAAATTTTTACTGTACGTTATCAACATATTTAAAAATGTTTGTTGTAAATTGGACAAAAAAAATTAATATAAAACACAAAAGGCAGCAAATTTCGGCTAGCCGAAGTTTATATACCCTTGCAGTTACTGCAAAATTTTAAAATTCTTTAAAACATTTCAATTTTGAATTATTTGAGTATATGTTTCATAGCATTAAAGCTATGAGCGCAATTATTCGATAGTTCCCAAGACAGCTTTATGATAAAATTTTCCGATTTAAACAAAATTAATCGAGTAATTCTGAATTGTTAAATCAATAGAATAAAAAACAAATTGAAAATTACAGAAGTCAAAATATTGTTTCAATTATTTTTTTAATACTCTATTGTTTGCATGGGAGCTGAATGATACAGTCGTCAGATTCTGATAAAATTTAATCCGTAATTACTGAAATATCCAAGAACTAAAAAAACAAAACTAACAAAAACTAAGAACGCAAAATTTCTAATTTTTCCCGATTGTTCGTATGGCAGCTATATGATACAGTCTGGCTCCTTTGTACGTATATACTACCAGCAACAGGAAGACAACTTTTGGGAAAGTTTCATGCAGTTAGCTAAAAACTGAGAAACTAGTTAGAGTAGAAACGAACGGACAGACGGACAGACTGACAGACGGACAGACGGACAGACGGACGGACAGACGGACGCACGGACGGACGGACGCACGGACGGACGGACGGACGCACGGACGCACGGACGGACGGACGGACGGACGGACGGACGGACGGACGGACGGACGGACGGACAGACGGACAGACGGACAGACGGACAGACGGACGGACAGACGGACGGACAGACGGACGGACAGACGGACGGACAGACGGACGGACAGACGGACGGACAGACAGAGCGACAGACGGACGGACAGACAGACGGAGAGATCGAGTCTAAGCAAGAATATATATACTTACAGGGTCGAAAATGTTTTCTTCACTGCGTTGTAAACTTCTGACTGAAATTGTAATAACCTTGCAATTGGAGAAAATTCACATTCGTTATTATTTTATTTGCTATTATGATTCATATTATGACATTTTACCTTTACCTTTTTTCAAAATCAATTATATTTTATTCTATGGTAAGGATGTACGTTGCTGGTAGACAGTAAGTTGACCAGAAAAATAGTTATAAAGTTCATTTGATACCCACCAAATAAACTTTAAAATTATTTTTTGTGTGTAGCTAAACTCAAAAAATAAGACACCATCTCTGTTCTACTATAAGTTATTTGGACAGATTCAAGAGTGGTAGTGCAATAAAAAAACCTTTTTAGTAAAAAGCGTGGTGCTTTGTTGCTTATATGTGACTTTTAATTGTATTAATCCCATTTGTACAAACAAAATCGATTTATCGAAAGAAAAATTGTTATTTTAACAATATTAACTGCATTCGGAATTCGGAAAATCTTCTCAAAAACTTTTTCAATAATTTATAATAATGAGAAAACAATTCCGCCTGCCCGCGTGTACTTTAGCATGAGCATTGACTATTAGTAGGCAACCAAAAAAGTATGACATTTCCAAGAAAGTGGGATCATCGATCATCAGAGGAAGGTTTTGTTTCCCATGTCTTCAAAGAAAGTCACCAAAATGATTTTCGGTAAATATTTATAAATTTAAAAATAATTTTATAATTTTGTGAGTACTTGAATTATTTCATTGCCACATTTGTGGACTTTTATGTTATGTGGGATTTTTTTTCCTGCCAGAAATCCAGCAGTAATGAATTGTGGTACTACGATCAGGATTTGCTGCTCTTGCTCTTGTTTTCTGTCATTTTTATACCCTTGCAAAGGGTATTATATTTTCAGTGATAAGTTTGCAACGCAGTTAAGGGAGACATCTCCGATCCTATAAAGTATATATATTCTTGATCAGCATCACTAGGAGAGTCGATCTAGCCATGTCCGTCTGTCCGTCCGTCTGTCCGTCCGTTTCTACGCAAAGTAGTCTTTCAGTTTCAAAGCTATCTGCATGAAACTTTTCGTCATATAGTAGTGGTTAAATATTTCGGAATTACGGTTTAAATTTCATCAAAATCGGAAGACTATATCCTATAGCTCCCATAGGAACAATCGGAAAAATAAATAAAAAAAATTATAACTTTGCTGTTATTTAATTTTTTTTTTAGTTCTTCGACATATAGTAATAGTTAAATATTTCAGAATTACGGTTTATTTCATTAAAATCGGACAACTATATCATATAGCTCCCATGGAAATAATAAAAATATATAAAAAATTTTTATTTTTTATGTAACTTTTCGGAAAACGATATCATATAGCTGCCACAGGAACTGTCGAATAATTAAGCTGCAAATCATCATAGTTTCAATGTTTTTAAACATATAAATCATAATTTTAATATTATAAAGAATATTTCTTTTTTGCAATAGCTGCAAGGGTATATGAACTTCGGCTTGCCGAAGTTCGCTTCCTTTATTGTTCTAGATAGATTTTAAATTCCAAAGAATTCAAAAATTGCGCCAACCTTGCATTTCAAAGCTATTGTTGTGGTGGCATTAACGAAATATCACTATTTTCTAGAATTTTTCTAAAATCGTGATTTGAAGTCGCATTTACTTATCACATTTTTATTTTTAGCCTTATGGGATTCCCTATGTAAATAAATGGCCATTAGGCTAAATGCGGCTATAAGTCTAAGGCCGGGATAGTTCCAACATTTCCATCTTTTTTATCTTAATTTGTATTTATCCATAAACGATTTAATACGATTTAATAAAATATAACGAATTTTTTTATTGCAGGCATTTCAAATCACCACGCTTATTCGGGAATATTCTGAAATTGTGAAAGACGTTAAGTAAATTCTTATTAAGTCATGAAAAATTATAATTATTATTGTAACAATCAATAAAATATATAAAAATTGAAATTAAATTAATAACAAAAATACATTTATAAAATTGTTTCGTGTTTTTTCAGGCCGCGGAATGGGCCTACTTCTCTTTCACTCGCCCTCTCTCTCTTTCTCAACATTTGCAATCTCCCGCACTCCCTTTCCCCGAGAATCGCTAATGCGCTCGGCAAAACGGCTAGCGTTGAAAAGATATTTTTCCGTGTTCTCTTTCATCGCGATCGCGGAGCTCACTGCTGCAACCCGGAGCTGCTATAAACGCTGACAATCCCCAACTTAAGTTTGGACCTTTGAGCCGGATTTTTTGGCCGGTTTCCATTATATTTTTAAGTTCGAAAAAAGTTCGAAGTTTTTGTAGTTATTAATTGCCGGTCTCCAGTCAGACACTCGAAAAGATCGATTTATTTGACTTTCTGTACGATTTGTCCAAGTGCGAATTGTCCAAGTGCGATTAAGTCCGAGAACGTCAATTTTCGTCATTTTGCATTTTTCGTTTGTTTTTTGATCATGCGGCCCACCTTAATCCCATTTTCTTTTTGCATATTGAGACACAAGAATACAAAAGTAAATTTGGCCATGGGGTATACATCCGAAAGTATACATATACTTTTTCAAATTATTTAAAAGTCGAAAAGAAGTAAAACAAATCCAAACTCAACGAAAAGTTTAAAGGTTCTGTGTGGCTGGGGTTCGCTGTGTTTTCTCATTTAAAAAGTTTTGTACTCATTTTCATCCAAAAAAAAAACAGTAAACTATAAATCAAAATTTAAACACACACGCCGGACAGTTTTAAAATAAATTGTTGCCCATTACGTGGGCAAAATATATAAAGGAGTGTGGGGCTATTTCGCCACTGGGACAATTCCACCACCCGCCAAGAATCCATGAATTGGAAAAGTCCCAATTTTGTTTGTTTTACTGATCTTTTTTCGCGGTCATCCTAGCTATAAAAATAGTTCTTTTTTTTTTTTTAAATGACATCACCCTATGAGTGCGGCTAATTCATCCCCTATTTTATATATATTGTATTTTCCTTGCTCAAAAGGCGAATTTAATTGTAAGCTTTTTAATTATGACCTACCATTATGGTACGCAACTACATCAGAAAGCTATTTACGTTGTCGAGGAAGCTGTTGTAGATGTATCGACCAAGAACTTGCCTGTAAAAACTGCAGCAAAGCAGTTTATAGAAGCACTCTGAGATGATCCATCTGAAGCGCAACATAGACGCAGAAGTGGGCAAAAATAGTGTTTTCGCAGTATAGACTGCATTTTCTAAAGACGCCGAAAATATTTTGGAAGTCTTGGCATACGAGTTCGGAAAAAAACTAAATATCGCTTTGCCATGGGAACTGAGTCAAATGGCTGGAAATAAGTGGTTCCGAGGCTTCTTGAAGCGACACACACGGACGGACGGACGGACAGACGGACGAACAGGCGGACGGACAGACGGACGGACAGACGGACGGACAGACATACGGACAGACATACGGAAAGATCGACTCTAAGCAAGAATATATAAGTTAAGGCCTGTCATGGCCGGGGGGGTACGAAGCTCCCCTATATTACCTTATGGTGGTGTTCATCAGCTGCATCTTACTCACTTGTTCTTTCTGGTTCTCAAAAAAGGCAACAACTTTACCTTCGGATTACGTTATAATTTTATTGTGATAGTCTAATATTAGGTCCACACAGTACTGCGGTGGTTACAGAAGTGAGATCTTAAATACTAGTGGGTTGGCCTCTTAACCAACTCCGGTCCTCCGGCGTCAGCATGCCGTTGGCAGACGCGGAAGTATCGTAGCCGACGGCAGCGGTTTTGGTTGGTCTGCTTGTTGCGCTCCGGATGTGAGCACTGCATTTTATCTAGCGCAGTGGTAGGGGCGGCGGCTGTTGAGCTGAGGCAGCTAGCGGGCGGTCAACGGTCTTTCGCTTGCTTGTTGCTGCCGTTGCTCTTCTGCCGCTGACGTTCTGGCGCTGCCGCTGTCGTTCTCACGCTGCCGCTGTCGTTCTGTCTCCATCGTCGCGTCGCTGCCGCTGCATCGCTGCTGTTGCATCTCTGCCGCTGTTTAGCTGCTGCTGCCGCCGTCGCTATTGCTGGTGCTGCCGCTGTCGCTATTGCTGGTGCTGCCGCTGTCGCTATTGCTGGTGCTGCCGCTGTCGTTATTGCTGGTGCTGCCGCTGTAGCTCTTGTGGCCCAGCGGCCGGGTCATTGCAGCCACTTGAGTTGGTGTCATCTTCATGTGGCCACTTGAGCGTAATGTTGTCGCTGTGTGGCCACTCGAATTGAATGTGTACGATGTGGGTGGCCGAGGGGTTGAATGAGATGGGTCGTCGTCGGGTATCTTGGATGTCGAGAGGGGGTGAAGGGAAGGGGGCGCTAGCCGGTGTTAACT